GCAAGCAGTGACAGTAAGGGAGACTATATCCCTGTTAACGTAAAACAAGCTACAGAGACACATCTATGTAAAATGACATAAAATAAGAAAGAGTCACCTCTAGGGGCCGCTGAATAACGTGGAGAGAGTGGGAACTCTAGGAAATAATAATGCTGCGCCAAGAACCAGCGTTTCGAAAAAATGTCCTTATGGTGATTTAGTGGTAATATTTTCAGAAATGTAGATCACAGAACATTCTGCTGATCTATTCTGTACATAACGGTCCCAATGATCTCAATGACTGATCTACAGTTAAATTTAGAAAAGAATCATTATTCAGAGAACAAATATTTCTTGTACAACAGCGATATGTGAGAACATAAAAAAGAGAGAAGGGTTGATATGCCAGAAACCAAGAGAGCGGCAGATAAGCTATAGCTGATAGACAGAGGGGCAGATATGTGAGAGCCTTAGAGATAGAGGGAAGATATGTGAGAGCATTTGAGAGAGGGGGCAGATATGTGAGAGCATTCGAGAGAGGGGGCAGATATGTGAGAGCATTCGAGAGAGAGGGCAGATATGTGAGAGCATTCGAGAGAGAGGGCAGATATGTGAGAGCATTCGAGAGAGAGGGGCAGTTACGCTATAGCTGATAGACAGAGGGGCAGATAGGTGAGAGCATTAGAGAAAGTGGGGCAAATATGTGAGAGCCTTAGAGAGAGAGAGGGGTAGATATGTGAGAGCCTTAGAGAGAGAGAGGGGTAGATATGTGAGAGCCTTAGAGAGAGAAGGGTAGATATGTGAGAGCCTTAGAGAGAGAGGGGTAGATATGTGAGACCCTTAGAGAGAGAAGGGTAGATATGTGAGAGCCTTAGAGAGAGAAGGGTAGATATGTGAGAGCCTTAGAGAGAGAGGGGTAGATATGTGAGAGCCTTAGAGAGAGAAGGGTAGATATGTGAGAGCCTTAAAGAGAGAAGGGTAGATATGTGAGAGCCTTAGAGAGAGAGGGGTAGATATGTGAGAGCCTTAGAGAGAGAGGGGTAGATATATGAGAGCCTTAGAGAGAGAGGGGTAGATATGTGAGAGCCTTAGAGAGAGTGGGGTAGATATGTGAGAGCCTTAGAGAGAGTGGGGTAGATATGTGAGAGCCTTAGAGAGAATGGGGTAGATATGTGAGAGCCTTAGAGAGAGTGGGGTAGATATGTGAGAGCCTTAGAGAGAGTGGGGTAGATATGTGAGAGCCTTAGAGAGAGTGGGGTAGATATGTGAGAGCCTTAGAGATAGAGGGGCAGTTATGTGAGAGCATTAGAGATAGAGGGGCAGTTATGTGAGAGCATTAGAAATAGAGGGGCAGTTATGTGAGAGCATTAGAGATAGAGGGGCAGTTATGTGAGAGCATTAGAGATAGAGGGGCAGTTATGTGAGAGCATTAGAGATAGAGGGGGCATATAGAAGGGCAGGTAGGTGGTAATGGACCATAGAAAGGAGCTGGTATTGTGACATGTTATCTGAGAGGGGCACATGATGCCAGTATTGGGAAGAGCTGATACCTGCCAAGGTAATGAAGTAGAGAAATGGACAGGGTAACAGGATGAAGTAAATAGAGGCAGATATGTATCACTATAGTTGGGAGAGGGGTAAGTAGGTGACACAATAGCAGACATATTGACAGGTAAGTGACAAGGTGACAAAGTCATGGCTATAGCAAAGAGGAGCAGAAAGTCACATGGTAAAAGAATGACCAGCAAGGGGTACAGAAGCCCAAATCTGTGTAGTTATTGCAGCTAATTACCTCTCCCTGGGAAATCAGCAGATATCTCTCTGCAATCCTACTGCAGACACAGCTCCAGGTCACTCCAGATGCATGCCGGGATATGTAGTACCTCGCTCCAGTACTAGATATGACTAAAGCTAACTGTGGACCACAACTCCCAGAATCACCCTCGCGGCTACACTTCCTACTTGGCCTTCAAACCATATTATTGGCTGAAGCAAACAGATAACCCAGGGAAACACCTCCCCTACCTGTGTTATATATACAGTATATATATATATATAGTTTTATATTTACAGAGTTCATGGCAAGGTGCTATACAACTGGACTGCTATGTGGATCCAGTCTTTCTCTTTGTATTTACCTTGTTTTGGTGGCCTCTGGACTGTGGCCATAGTCACTATTGTTAATTTCTGTTTATCCATCTCTTATGTGAAAAATCACATACAGTGTTATTCGATGAATTTTACAAATACACGTAAAACACCAAGCGCCAAAACCCATACAGCCCACCATAGTGGTTATGGTGCCAGGAGTGTCGTGGCGCTTGGAGTATTAATCCCAATCAGAAAGGGTAAGAAATGTGAACTAAGTGACTTAAAAAGGGACACTAAAGGCGCTCAAACTACTTTATCTAATTGAAATGGACTGGGTGCACTGTCCGTGTTCCTGTCACCTTAAGCCTGCAAGTGAAAAGATTGCTGTTTCAGAGAAACAATGTTTATATTGCAGGGCTAAGACTGCTTCTAGGTAGGGGCTGTCTCCCAGACTTCTTGGCCTTTCACAGAGTTTAAAGGGACACTCCAGGCACCCAGACCACTTCTGCCCATTGGAGTGGTCTGGGTGCCAACTCCCACTACCCTTAACCCTGCAAGTGTAATTATTGCAGTTTTCATAAACTGCATTAATTACCTTGCAGGGTTAAGTCTATCAGACAGCCACTAGAGGGACTTCCATGTTCTTATTACACGAAACGTGTTTTAAACGATGCTGGAGGTCCTCACACTATGTGAGGACCTCCAGCGTTGCCGAAATTCCCATAGGTCTAATGCGCATTTGCGGCCATTGCCGCCCATGCGCATTAGGTCTCCCCCGCCAGCTGACGTCGGCGGGGGAGGAGAGTAGGTGGTGCCTGACCCAGCGCCGAGAGACATCAGCGCTGGACTCGGGTAAGTCACTGAAGGGGTTTTAACACTTTCAGCAACTTGGGATGGGGTGTGGGAGGGAGAGGAGCACTACAGGGTCCTGCAATATGTTTTCCTGGCACTGGAGAATCCCTTTAACTCCATGAAGCGTCACTAGACATCCTCACGCTTTGCATGAGTACGCCCAGCTTCTTGAAAATCCACATAGGAAAGCATTGATTCAGGGTCGTCTCACATGCGCATTAGGCTCACCCCCTCCGCCCCCATCGCTGATGCTAGAGGAGATAGAGAGTACACTTTAATTCATTAGGCGTTTAACCTTGTAATTTGTAACTTGAACAATGTATTTCTTTTTAACTGTACCATGTTTCACCCGATATATAAAAGAATAAATATTGTAAAAAAAAAGAAGAAAAAAAAGAAAAAGAAATCTGAGTTGCTAAACTGGAAACCAAAGAGAAAAAAAAAAAGGAAGCTAGGACACTGTAAATATCCCCTGATACCTGATACTAATGTGGAAATATTTAAGACACAAGTTACAGTAGAAGTGCAGTAAGCTTGCTTGAAAAAAGTGGACTTCTGTGTAGATCTGTAGAACGCAGACAGACAAATATGCACAAAAAAGCAACAGCAACAACTGTTGGGCAAATGTGAAAGTCATTTTAGAGGGAGGTTTGAATAACATTTCACACATAAAAGGAACACTATAATATTAGGAACACAAACATATTCCTGACACTATAGTGTAAAATGACTATTTAGGTCACGGCTCCCATCTCTTTACACAGTAAAAAGGTGATGTTATTCTCCTTTTTTCAGCGCCTAGCCGTGGCTGTTCTCTCCTTGCTCCGCCTCGTTGGCTGAGATCATCAAACATGAAATTCTCAGCCAATCCAATGCTTTGCCATAGGAAAGCATTTGGAGGCTATTTCAAACCAGAAACTTCCTTTAGTGGCTGTCTGGTAGACAGCCACTAGAGGTTGAGTTAACCCTGGATAGTAATTATTGCAGTTTCTCAATAACTGCAATAATTACTATTGGAGGCTTAAGGGACACAGCTCATTGCACCCAGACCACTTCAATGAGCTGAAGTGTCTGGGTGCCTACAGTGTCCCTTTAAGCTGTAGTGGTTCTGGTGACTACAGTGTCCCTTTAAGGAAACACCCTGTTAGATTTATATGGACGTTTTCTGACACATATTCCTTCCCCATTATTACTCACCAATATTAAACTAAAAAATGGAAATGAATAAATGAGTCAGTGTCTGTTTTGTTTTTCAACTATCATTATCGTGTAATAGAATTGTCCTACATTGCCAAGCTATTATAAGGTGTAGTTAGTGGTAGCAGGTGAATTATCATCTTTTCATAACTATTGAAGTAACTTGGTAACTAATTTAGATCAAGAACACCATCAGTGTTATTCACAAAAGTTAGAATTCAAAGAGAATTTCCAATGTAAGGTCACATTAGCTGAACTGGAAAAATTATCTAAGACATCTTTGTTTTCAATTTAACTAATCTGGTTTTACATTTGAATTCTCAATTATCGAATAACCCAGTAACTCTGAATGTTTTATTTGCACATACGCATCTATCAACACATTTATTGCAGTTTAAACACACACTGCAAGTTTTACAGGTGCAGACAGAGAGATGTGATACATATGACACATGTAACGTAAGTATAGAAAAATGGTGCTGGGATATAATTGAGGGGCACGAGGATTTGGACCTCAGGAGGACTTGCGGATGATGACTAATCGGAAATCTGTGAAGCTGTGAAGTAGGCAGATGCATAAATGTTACCTGCTAATGTGACAATACAAAAACACATATCATTATAAAAGGTGCAAAAAAAAAATTTTTTTTTTTTTTTTTTTTATAAAGACATCGGAAGTGTGCAAACAAGTATAATTAGGAGATGGAAGCAGATACAGAGAATCCATCCAGCTCCAGCAGGACCTCTTGTTCAGAGCTTGACATCCTATGGCACGGATGCCATCGACGGCACACATGGTGTCTTTGGAAGATTAGGTGCCAATGCACAGCCGTGGCAGAGTAATAACAGTGCAATTTACAGGAAGCTGTCACATTTTGATAGCCAAAACCCCATGGATGATGGTACAGTTCATCCTATGAGAGTGGCAAGCCAGCCTGGTTAGGCTTAGATTTTGCATAGGAATTCAGTGAAGAAGGAGGTGTGTATAATGACCAGCTGCACACACACCCCTTAAGTCTCCGCTTCAGCCTAAATACACAATACAGAGCAAAGACATTGCATGACATGATGTCATAACATTGTGCTTTGAAATATTTACTTACACATGGAGCCACTGGTCCCCAGGCAACAGTATGCACCATATGGCAATCAAGGTAAAGGGAGGCGGCAGTATAAAGCTTTTAAATTATAGGATATATTGCAGGGATATTGAGTTCAAAGGGGAAGGCGGAAAATATCAGGGGTGTAAAATTTTCTTAAATTGACATAATTGGCTTGGGTGTACAGAAATTGCCTCTAATTGTATACACGTAGAAATACACAGGAATACTGACACAAAGCATACACAGCAACACTTGTTCTAGATAATTTACTGCAAACCAATTAGTTTGAATGACTATCTGTTCCTGTCCAAATTAAAGATAATAAAGTTGCGTGCACGCAGAAGTAAATTCACACTGAGACACAAGGTTCAGGGTAATGAAAGAACTTCAGAGAAGTTTAATGGCTTCTGACAGAAAATGGGTGCGCAGACCCTTATAAAGGCATTATTACATCATTGAAGAAAATCAAGATATAGACAAATAGACACTATTGATTGGTCCAGGTGTTAAGTGGTTAGTTAGGTACCCTCCTATCAAGAGGTGATGTCATCCTTGACACGGGAGTGGACACAAGATGTAGGCGCCATCTTGTTAGCACGAGGTGTTCACTCGATGGGAGGGGTGCTTTGGCAGCCATCCATTTAGAGTGTAGCTGGCACGGTTAGTTTCTCAAGGTTAGGTTTCAAGGCTTTTAGTAAATACACATTTTATCAAAGCTATTTCTTGCTGACATGCAAATTCTATGTTCTATAGACAAAGCTTTCTTGTAAAACTATGGGGGCCTCTTAGAGGTATAGCAAGAGGATTTAAAGGGGCCTTACAGATTTATAGAGGCCTAATAATTCTACAACAGTCCCCCCTAAAATGTTATTTGCTAAAAGACAAAACTTTATTTGTTAGTATCAGAAGAAGTATTAGCCCAAAGACACAGAAACCCCATGACCGCTGACTTAGTGTTAATGCAAAGTGCAAGTCTATCCCTCTCTTGACCCTAACAGGCTGCAGCACATCCGTCAGTACGGTTCAGGAACACTCTTCACTCCGCTGGTAACCCATAGTGGCTTATCCACTACTTCTCCGTACGGCAGTCTACCCATAAAGACGGACGCTGTCCCTGTACTGTCCCTTCCTAGACTTTCTGCACTTCATCAGTATAAGGGAGAGTTTGTAGCGGAATACAGGGTGAGATGAGGTCTTGATCATCGATTGTCAGATGAGTGAAGGTTGGTGTTGCTTGGTCTACAGTTTTCTGCATGAATTTCCTTAGGCATGGGAGGCCACAACAAATGAGAAGAGCGAGAATAAAAAGAAAAATTAGTAAGGCAATACCAATCTGGACTAAAGCTCTCTGCCAACCAGTCATCCAACCAAACCATTTTTCCCAGGGATCAGTAACTCCAGAGTTTCTCTTTAACTCTTCTGAGAGTCTATTTAATTTAGCTATGGCCAGAGTGACTTTACCTTAGGACCTGTGTTTTCTGGAATGTAAGTACAACAAGTCATAGTGTCGGGAAGTATTTTACAGACTCCCCCTTTTTCGGCTAAGATCATGTCTAAGGCCAGTCTGTTCTGGAAGGTCATTTGGGATGTGGCCTGTAATTGCTCGGCCAAGCCCTGGAGGGCATCCCTGG